TCACCACTACTGCTATTATTTTTAGCATTACCAAAACAAACATTCTGATTATCATTGCATCAGACGCGAAATTAGGTGCATCAAAAGTTCCAAACTTTCAAACACGTATTCAATTAGCCAAACGACGTGGAATGAGTAATTCAGCCAAAACTTCATTTCACAGAAGTAATAGATCCACGGATTTAAGTAGTGTTTCCAGTAGTACACCAGCATCACCTATAATGATGTCACCTTCTCACAGTCGTACCCCATCAATGTCTTCAAGAAAATCTATTGACATAACATCTGTTTATAGTTTAACAAGTGAACCCACCTCTGCTTATTATAAAGACAATACTATAAATCCATTTGCAAAATTTACTAATTTTGTAAGTGCTTTTATAGTTTTACAGGATTTCTGTAAAGAATTAGCTGCTATTTTATTTGTTAAATATATGTATTCTGATAATTATGTTACAATTATTGAAGAGGATGAAGATATACAAGATGACAATGATAATCAGAATGTTTGTTTTGGTAATGCTAAAAATAATAGCAGTAGTGGTGATGTGAAAAACAATACATTAAAAGATGATATTATATTAGTGCGAAATTGTGAAAATTTTGCGAAACTGATGGCTTCTGTTGAAAGATCTCAGGTCGGATCCAGTATTGTACCTATAAGAGGTGTGAACGAAAGTCAGTTTAAGGATAAAAAAGATAAAAAACTATAAGTTACTTGTCATCCTATTAATTTCAATGAATAAATTTTATAACTGTATTTTATTTTAAATAGTTATATGTAAATTATGTAAAAATATTTAACTTCAAATTAAAGAAATATTAAATTATAAACATCGCACAACTATCTTATGTACTAATGTTTGAGCACAAATTGTTTATAAAATCGTTCGTTCTGCCACAGGTGCAACAATAACTCTCTTCCGTAAGTATTCTTTCAAAAAATTTTGGGTGCACCATGCAACTTTTCTAATCTTTTAAATTACATGTGAAAGAAACGTTAGATAATGTAAAAAATACCTGAAAGTTGCATGACATACTAGAGTGCGAAAATCACTAATTTTTCGCACTCCGTCAAAAACCTCATTAATATCTTGTTAATAGTGCTAGTAAGAAACTAAATTTGCGATTTACTATGAAAATTTCTTATTAGCGTATTATTAATAATTTACAGATCTAGATATTTTGTCGCTATCACAAAAATGTAAGATTTCCGCAAAGACTGTTTATATTTTAAAGCTCGGGCTAAAACAGGGAAACTATTAAAATGTAAACTGATAAACTAAATATATGTGTGATAAAACATAAATCAATCATTTAACGTTTATTGTGGTTTTTTTTAAAGCAATTTATTATTGTTCTCAATCCTAAAACATCATCAATATTTTATGTTTAAAGTCCATATTTCCACAATTTTTGCTTAATGTCTATTTAGATTATGGTTTAAAATTTTCACTGTAGAATTCCGTGTTATTAATAATCTAAATTTGATAAATTTTCGATTTAAATTTTGTTTCAGAAGTCATAAATATTTCAGAATTTGGCAAAGTAAAAATAGAAATGAGAATACAGTCTTTACGAGAATCTTATATTTTTGCGGTAGCATTAAAATATTCTAGATCTAGTATAAATTATTAAGTTTATAGGTCACCAAGAGGAATTTTTCGAATCCACCAGGGCGGCCACGAATTTTTCGGGTCACGTGATAAGAACAAACCATCCTAACGACCCTAGCGTCGCCCCCCGAAAAAATGGTAGCCGGACAGATTTGCCGGGTTACACAAAATTTCAGATGCAGTTTATTGGTTTTTTAAATAACTTCGAAAGTTCAAAAAAATGAATAGTGCAAATTTTTTATGAATTATTTATTCTTTGTTTAATGTGTAAAACCATAATGATTACAGAATTATCACTCTTAACAGATTAAATGCTGCTCAAATACATGCTTTTTATTATAATTAACGATTTATATGTCATCTTTATAACACAATCCAAGATCGTTCTTAGAAATTTGTCATTAAAACATCATCTTATATACTACCACCGCTTATTTCTACAATACTTATGCTTTATAATTTTTTTTTTTTTTTTTTTTTATCCAATACATTATATTTTTATTAAAATCTTTCCAAGTCTTTGGCATTGTTATACGATCATTTAATGCCACAATATCATTATTCATTTTTTCTAATGAGTTAAAGTTGGAACGAACATTTTTTAACCATAAAGGTTCTTTGGGTTTGTCACGTGATTTGTCTAAAAGCATTTTAGTCTGCAGAACAATTGAAAATTAATAAATAATATTAATACCATATAGAATTTTTTTATAAATACCTTATCTAATATTTTATGCAAATAGTTCAAGTCCATTTTATAATTGTTTTCTTCATCATTACTACTGTTCTCATGTCTAATATCCAATTCCAATTCTTCTTGAGTTAATAAAATATTTGAAGGTTGATAATTTACAGAATTTTTCAAACAGAATAAATTTACTAAATCACTATTATAAGAAGAAATTAATGGATAATATCTATTACATTGTACCTATATATGTATAAAAAAAAAAATTAATATGTATTAAGCAAATATTACATATGCATATATAAATAGTATTTTAAAAATAATTTTTAAAAAATATTAGATCAGCCTTTTCTTTTTTTTTTTTTTAATATTAATGGTGAGACCATGTCTCTGACTTTATTAAAATTTAATTTAATTTTTCTACAGTGAAAAGAAATTCCTTACAGAGAAAAGAATCTATTTAAATTTTATATCCTAAGATAGCAAGAAAAGAAACTCAGACTAATTTATCTGCGGCCTAAACCAACTAGGGTGGCCATGGCTTACCTAGATTTGTGAATGAGTAATTATGTAGTTTAAATTTGTTTGATATTTAATCTATAAAGGATACCATAATCCAATTTTAGTACTAGCTATAGTAAGTAGTGAGGGTTGAGAAGACTGATAGGTAGAAAGAGATGAAACTAGTAGAGGAGATGTAGTATTATTAGAAGATTGAATTGAAGAATGAGAAATACAATAAGGTATCCAAATGTTATGATAAATTTGTGAATTAAGATATAAAAGAAATTTGATAGTAATAGTTAATGCCGATATAGCAGATGAAGTAATGTCCTTGAGTAGATTTATGATATTAAGGGGAACTAGCCTAGACAAAGTAGAGTTAATAGATAGAGTATGTTGATTGTGATGAAGTGTCATACTGTCAAGATGTTTGATTTGGTTGTAAATTGTAGTAATCAATTTATGTGAGACATCCAATAATGTTGAGTTGATAACATGCTGTAGAGAGTTGTCGATAAGATTATACAATAGTGCAAATGATGGGCAGGTAACCCAATGTAGTGGTGTACTAATTTGATTGCATTGATGACAGTTGGGTGAGACATGAAATTACATTTAAACAATATATGAGGAGTAGGCAACTCATCAAGAAGAATTTTAACTCGGAATAATTTAAGAGTAGAAGATTGAAAGCTATATGAGAAATTTGAAATTTTTTGGTTGTTGTTAATATAACACCAGGTAGCAGACCAGTTGATATGAGCAGCAATATGAAACCACTGTTAAAATCTGTATTGAGATGACCACAGAGCATAGATATGTGAATAATATATAGTACGGATAGTATGTCAAGTTGGTAACTCTAGAGGATATTGATATAATTGAAGAGAATAGTTGGGATTATAAATATTATAAGGTTTAAGAATAAGAAAGTCTGAGATAAGATGGCAGCGAGCCAATTGGTCAGCAAGATTATTAAATCAATCCTCTTGATGTGCAGTAACTTTGTGAAAAATAATTTGGTGGTTGTATGATTGAGTAAAGTTTATAAAGGTATACCATAATATAGAATATAGAGTGTTTGTAGAAGAAAGAGAATGTGGTGAATTTTGAAGGCTATTAAATTTTGAGATAACAGATTGTGAGTCTGTGAAAATATGAATAGTACAAGATCTAGGTGCAGTGCTAATTGCTAACAATATAGCAACAAGTTCTGCCTTGAAGAAGCATGGCCAATATTTGATTTGTGCCTAAAATTCATATAATATGTTGTTCTGATAGACTTGTACCCATCCAATACCCATGGAACAATCTTGTGTACCAAAGTCTCAGACAGAACCATTTGTATAAAAAGTAATTTCAGAAAGTTAGATATTAGAGTTGGCGATAGTTTGAAGTATATTAGCAAGAGATCCAGATTCAAATATAGGTGGAATTGAGGCAGAGTTGTAAGAAATACTGGGAGTAGGTAGAATATGAAAGGAATGATGAATTGCAATAGAATATATTAAATCTAAATGATTAGTGTAAGGTTTAATAGTTTTTTCTTGAGAGTTATAAGTACAGAAAAATCTAGACGCTAAATTAATAGAGATAAATATTGTACATCTGTTGGAAATAAAATTAGAGTTGTGAGAACAGCCAGGATATATACTAAGATTAATAGGTTGAGTTGGATATAATTTGGTGAATTGTGGTAAGAAGGAGCATTGCCAGTATGTAATAAGAACAAGACTAGTTGGAGTGACCCATCTTCTTGCTTTGCCTACTATTATTTGGTCCTCAATAGTAGTTATGAGCTATGGCTTTGATTTTAAAGAAAAGTGATCAGTAGAAAAGCTATAGTAGTTAGTATCAGGAAGTTTATATTGTTCATAAAATGTTCATTGCTATTGTGGTTTAATACTAGATCTTCAAGAGTTGTAAACCAAAGAGGTTTCCTTTCTCTAGAAATTTTACAAAGTTTTGGTGCAATATGCTCCCAGCTAAGAAAACAAGAATTGTCATATATAGAAAGTTGATCTAAATATAGAAGATGAAGTTTGCGAAGTTGTTTCTTAAAAGTCATATAGTTAGGGTGTGATGAGAGTATTGATTCAAGAGATATTGAGCCTTCTTGGAGAGTATGCGGGATCTCATAGATTGGATTGTGAGTAACTGATATACCAAGATGATTAAAGAGCTTAAGAATTTTAATATTGGTTGAGTTTTTGTTGAGGCCGTCAATAATAGGATTAGAATGTATTAAGATATTTGTAGATGACCAAAGATTGTTTTGGAATTGTTGAAGGTGTATTCGAGAGCTAGTACCTAGAAGATCAGGGTTGTTTATTTGCTTGATATAATTTGTAATATGATGTTGAAGTTGAATATCCCAGATATTGTGAATATTATAAAGTTGTGGATGAAGAAGAGTACTTGTAGGAATTGTACAATTTAGCTTGGTCTTGTGCTTAACAAGTTTAATATGATGTGAAAGTATTTGTTTACAGGTTTGTTGGCTAAGTACAAGATTGTGAAGTCGGTATTCAATAGTTGGTATAATAATAGTGTTAATAATATATCGAGCATGTTTGTTAGTGATACATTTAGTATCTGCAATTTGAATTAGGTGTAGTGATTTCTCAATAATAAGTTGTGTTTGTTTTGAGAATTTGTTATTGAGTGTGAACCAGCATCCAAGAAATTTGAAGAGAGTATGGGGTGGGTGTAGGGATAATGAGTATTGATTATATATAATAGGGCATATTGGAAAAGAGGGTTATTGGTACAGAGAATAGATTTAGCAGAGTTAACTTGTATATTAGCCATGTTGTAGAATGATTGGGCAGTAGAGAGTATTTGCAATAATTCATTTTGTGAGGAGGCTAGCCAGAGAGTATCATCCATATAGGCTAGTACTAAA